TAATAGTAAAAATAACCGTGTCTTCATACACGAATAATTCGAGTAGAATAAATTATAAACTTGCTATACGACTACATATAAAGTAAATTAGTCATACCGAACCTATAAGAGGTAGTTTCAGGCGTAACAGTACGTATACAGTCAGACCTTTCTAAATGCAATCCCCCTAAATGCACGCCCTACGAAAAACCCCCTAAATGCATTTAGAGAGGTCTGACTGTATTATCGATTTTTGTACATTGTTGAAAGCATTTTTAATTTTCACAATGATGCAATCTTTGATCTATCAACGCGTATTAACGCCAACAACTAAAGGGACATACATTATAAAAACAAAGTTGTATATGCGCTTTAATTATATCATTGTAAATATGGTTTTCTCTTGTCCATATAATGAAAGAAGCTTGAATAAATAAATAAATAATTGTGAACAATAGTTTATGCATTTCATAATTATATGTATGTGTAAATGGTTTATTTATCTTAACAAAATCAAATCACGAAAAATCTTTAATGGAATTGAGATTTGTGCAGATTGTTTTTATGTTTTTGATTTGCTACGTTTAGGATTTTGGATTTCTAATTATCAGTTTATACTGTAGAAAAATCAATTTAAATATTTTGAGAATTATAAAATTTTTTTGTTCATCCTAACGTTTTTTCATCCTAAAATATTTTAAAAAACATTTTCGACATTTTAAAATATTCCAGCAACCTAAATTCCTTTCAACATAGTAAATAATTTAAGATTTAGGCTGTTAAAATCAAATTTTCCTATTTAGACTACCCCAAGAAAAAAAAAAGTTTAGAAATTCATGTATATTTACATAATATATATATATATTTATAATATACAATAAAAGTCCATGCATAAATCCCTATGTTGATATCTCATTTAGTTTCATTGATATTCCTTTAGTGTATATCGATATCGGCAGTGTCATTGTCAAATTGACATCGGTATGCATTCGATATGTACCTAATTATGTAATATTGTAAAAAAAAAAACTCGACAAAATTTGTACTTATCGAGTAACGACTCTATCGGAAATACTTGCTCATCTCCGTACCTCCAAATTTTTTTCTTTCGTGAGTTTAAAAGATAAATATTTCTTTTATTAGTATATGATTGTGGAGATTAACTGCATCCTTTCCTTCCTTTTATGTAATGCATAAAAAAGGCTTTAGGTTCGAAAGTAACCGTGATTAACCGTGATTTGAAACTTTATAATAAACATGAACTTTTTTTTTAATGAATATCGTGTGATTTAGAAAATTTGCAGTACAATTAGCTATGAACGCAATTGTAAAATTTGAGTGTTACAAATAATGACGAATGAATTAATAACATTTCTTCGTCATTCCTCACACAAGATAACAAGATACGCCGCATTGTTTTACATTTTGTTCTCGTTAATTATCTTTTTGGCTATCTTGTTATCTTGTTGGTTGTAAAGGTTTTTTATTTTCCATAAACAGACAATAATTATTAGGGGTGATACTAAAAATTTTGAATCCATAAATCCTACTTTTTTTGTTTTTTTTTTTAATATTGATGGTGAGACCAATCCTACTTTTTTTTATTAACCCAATTAGAAAAATCATAAAACTTTTTTCCATTTCAACATAAACATAGAAACAAATTTCAATTTCGGCATCACCTCACCGAAATTATCATTGGCAATTCCCAGTTTCAGCACATTTCCAGCTATGAGTACAACAACAATAGTGAGACAAACCAAAATACGATATTTTCAAATGATTTTTGGTAATAATAATAATAATTTTATATTTCATAATTTCTAAATTTTTCATATAATTCATCTTGACGACTTTTACTTCCAAATTTAGAAGTATTATGTTGAATATATGTATTATTATTGTAAGCTTGATTAGAAAAAGTTTCTGTATCTAAAGAGTCAGTTATTTTAAGTGGTTGTTTTGGTGGCGTTGTCCAATGAACAGTCTAACAATAAAAATTATATGTATGTTTAACGTTAGGAAAAAAAAAAAAAAATCTAACCATAAAATTCCAAACTTTTTTTTAAATTATCAACTTACATGACCCCGTTTCATAACCATTTCTTTCCACATCTTGTAAGGAATCTTGATTGATCCTGTACGCCATCTGTCGTATTGAGAGCGTTCGGCTTCATTCGTCAGGATATTGTAAGCCGTAGACAATTGATAAAAATTCTTTTGGGCATTTTCTTTT